GGAGGGGGGGGGGGGGGGGGGAGGAGGAGGAGGAGGAGGAGGAGGAGGAGGAAGAAGAAGAAGAAGAAGAAGAAGAAGAAGAAGAACAACAACAACAACAACAACAACAACAACCAGGAGGAGGAGGAGGAGGAGGAGGGGGAGGAGGAGAGAGAGAGAGAGAGAGAGAGAGAGAGAGAGAGAGAGAGAGAGAGAGATGCAGCCATAGCAAATCAGAGAAAGGGAGAAAACGCAGACTCCCAAGGGCAGCTCTAGCAGCTTTGCCAGTGCCAGGAGAAGGCTGGGAAAGCCAGGGTAAATGGAAGATGCCGACATTCACTACACCTTTTCTTGGTCTACTTTTCTTGGTTCAGACAGACATTCAGGAACGAGTTGCAGTAACTCAGATAACACAACAGTCGTCCCCTTATCCTCAGGTATATAATCCAAGGCCCTCGGTGGGACTGAATGAAATCACAGATGATATCACAGTCTATAGATACCGTCCTATGTTTTAGCCTCTGTGGCCTGCAGGGTTGCCACATGGAAACAGTCCACACTTTCACGTTTAACGCCCCAGCGCGGTGGTCACATCGCTCACCGTGCTTCAGAACCTGTCAGTAAAATGAGGGTTCCTTGAACACAAGCCCCGCAATGCTAGGCCGGCCAGTCTGCTACTGTGTGAGGGACACGTGGCAGTGTACAGTATGGACACACAAAAAGAATGAGCAGGACACAGCAAGATCAAGATGGTACTCAGACATTTACAACGTATAAAATGCTTGCTTCTGGAATTTTCGATTTAGCAGTTTTGAATCCTAGCTGGTCGTAGGTAGGGGAAACCACAAAGCAGCGAGAGCTTCTGCACTAAAATGAACAATCCTAAAACGGCCGGTCTGTAGCAGAGTCGTCACGGGATTCTTGGAAAAGAGGTTTAGAGGTTTGTAAAAGGGGGGAAGCGAGTTCCTGGAGCAAGGATCAGGGATACCCTTGGTGAGCACAGAGGGTTGGAGCCTCTGGTGGGGGACAGTCAACCTCTGGACCGTGGAACGGGGTGACTTTAAAGTGGGAACCGCATCACCCTGGCGCACACTGTCTTCTGCTACAGCCAAGTCAAACACTCTCTGTGGATACCACCGCTGTGGCGCACGACCTCGTGCGAACAGATGTGCTGTGCACAGGAGGGGCTCAGACACGCGGTTCACAAACCCTGCTGGCTGTGGCTCACACACTGGCCACAGTCCCAGTCCTTCACACAGAACTAAGGAAAGGGAAGAAGCCGATAGTGGTGGGACACACCTTTAATCCCCAGCACCCAGAGGCAGAAGGAAGAGGATCTCTGTGAGTAGGAGGCCAGCCTGGTCTACAGAGCCAGTTCCAGGAGGCCAAGTCTACACAGAGAAGAAATCTGCCCCCACACCCCAAAAGAGAAAAATTGAAAAGGGAAGAAATAATCCCCACCTCTATCACCACACACGCCATTACAACTGCTTAGTGACTGAGGAAAGGTGGGGGCCTTGTTGTAAAGGAAAAGACAGCTCTTAGGATTCCAGGGCCTTCATCCTCCCTACTCAAGATAAAGCTTTGACCACAATGCCTCTTCTACGCCCTGCCCAAATCCCCCATATCTGAAAACTAAGAGATCAAAGAAAGAATTCACTCAACAACAGAACAGGATGACCTCACTTGGTGGCAAAATGTGATTTGGACCCATAAAACCCTCTGTTAGCTGTTTATTCAGTGTGAATATTATATGTCAGGGACACAATAATGAGTTTGATTATAGGGTTGCCAACGCCAGACCGCTTTGGTGGTATTATTGAGTGCAAGCCAGAACTTACAAAACAAAAACAAACCCATGACTCCAAATCTTAAAACACATCGGAGGTACGTGGGGGAAAGATCATAGGCTTTAACAGGTGACAGAGACCCTTACCAAGATTACCAAAGGCCCATGAGAGCCAGATCTCCTCTGGCTGTTTCAGGTGATATGGTCAGCTTTCTATGTAAGTTAGACCCCAGGCAGCATTTGGCAGCACTGTTAGAACGGGGAATCTGTTACCCAGAGCTGTAACTACAAGTTACACCCGGCTTTCCTACCTTCACATATTCCAGAGTCGGGTCCAGAAGATGTGGATCCCTGAAAAGAGAACAGAGGGACCGATACAAGACAGTTAGAACAAGTTAGGACAACGCACACTAATTCTTACAGAAATGTATCCATTTTAATTTAATATATAACATTATTTCCCTCTCATCATTTACGTTAGTGAGCTGCCTCCAATTCCTAGGTGATATGCCCAACACACAAGGGTAAAACCAGTCTTTTCATGTGTGAGAAAGAGAGAGAGCAATCAGGAGCTCAGTCCAGATGTGTCATTTTTTGCAGCCAAATTGTCTCAGGAAGTGATAGCATTTTATATGTGATGATTCTAAGCACACACAAGCCTTGAAAACTAGCCTCAAGTTTGAAAGCGGAGCACCAAAGGAGCAAAGGTGATGGGGGCGGCATCGGATGCTCAAACATGCCGCCCTTTCTAGCACTGACGTCATCTAGGTTAATGTCCAGACAACCACAGCAGGCTGCTGTGCCCATTGGACAGTAAGGAAATGAAGGTCCTGGCAGGCGGGCAGCTGGCCAGCCCTTGGGTCCTTGCGCACAGCCCTGCTCCTCAAGAACATCTCTTATCAGTAACACTCCCCACCCACTGTGTAAACCTGAGTGACTCAGATGAATATCTTCTAGTACGTCACTCCATCTAATGTACACTCTGCGTCAGCTAAAATCCTCCATCAGGGCTGACCAGATGCTCAGCAGTAGACAGCAGGGTGGTCCTGGGGAGGGTGGCTCACTGCAGATGTGGAGAGACGGGGGAAGAGTGGGGAGACACCAGATCTAGCGCTTGCTGAGCTCGCGTGGAAAGGACAACGACTTCACAGACGAAAACCTCAAAAGGGCGACACAGATTTGAGATCACTGACGAAGAGCGCGGCCGGCCGGTCTCTGAAGAGCAGGCAGGCTTCTTAGCATAGAGACAGAAAGGCCACCGTAGAAACCCACTGACAGCTGCTACCTGGGAAGGGTGAGCCCAGCGCTGAGGCCGCTGAGGCCGAGGCTGAGGGCATAAATGATTGTGGCAAGGTCACTTGGGATCAAAGTGTTCCATCCTACAGGTCAAGGACGCAATGCTCCTGTTGTGAGGTGGGATCCTACTCATAAGCACTCCTCACACCACCAACGGCTGTTCACTACTCAGAGCTGTTCAGAGTGTGCAGGCGAGGGGCAGACTGGTATTCAAGGCGCTGCTGTGCAAGCAGATAGGTTCAGACTTGAGTCTTTTGTGGGTCAAAGGATCTGAGCAGTGCCTAAGTTTGCAGTAACAGGGTATGTTCCCTTTGAAGAGGAGAATGAACCAAAACCCTTCCACACTTTCAGCAGAGGAACACAGTCTGCAGGGCGGAGGGGGCAGAGGGTGGGGGGTGTTCCCTTGCCAGGCATCTTAAGTCTTCCTGCTGTGACATCACTACCTCGCTCTGCAGGTCCCTGGGAAGTCAGTGCTAGGTTCGTCTGGAAAGTGTCATGCTCTAGAATGTGGTCATGTCATCAAGGCTTGGTTCCATGAAATATCCCACCAGTGACCAAAACGGTCCGCAGCATTTTGCTTGCACTGCCCCGTTTAAGTTCTTAAAACTTGGGGTTCGTTCACTTGATGTTTGGAGTTTACAGGCCCAGTGGCCCAACCCTGGGTCTCACTAACCATAATGCTGACTTTCATCTTCTCTGTCTTTCTGGTCCATGGACATTTTAAAATTTACTTCATACACACACACACACACACACACACACACACACACACACACACGCCCTAACGCATGGATTAGAAAACAGAAAAACAAAGACACTGGTGTATACTGTTGGAATTGATAGCTTCCAAACCTTTCAGTCTTAGTATATATTTGCCTATTAATTATTGATATTAGAAAATAAAACTGAGACACTTTGAAATATTCATCAAAGCGAGAGAGCTTATCCAGGATATCTAAGGCTATGGAGAGAGACTCAGTCTTCAACAAGGAAAAGCAGAAAGAAAAGGAAAACTCCATTACAGGACTGAGGAGATGGTGTAATGACTTGAAGGGTAAAGGTGCTTGCAGTCCAGGTCTGAAGATCTGAGCCCTGGGTCAAAGGCCGGGAATCCATAAAAAGGTGGAAGGAGAGAACCAACACCACAGAGCTGTCCTCTGACCTCTGAATGTGCACCGTGGTGTGTGCGCACACGCACACACACATCATAATAAAATAAATACAAATTTATATTGACGTAAGACATTTAAAATAGGCACGTTTATACAGTAAAGATTTAGTGAGGATGACATCATTTTAGCTTCATGGATCTTAGCATGGACTTGGTAGGACTCAGCTGAATTCGAGTCTACTGCCTTCCATGGACGGTGTCATATGTACTGTTCTAAATCAAGAGCGAAACACCGGAAGCACAGGTAAGTTAAGTGGCAAGGGGAAGGCAACTTTAAAAAGAAATTACAAATATTACAACTTACATCATTATAGTTACAGATATATGTTCTGATGCCAAAAGTCAGGAAGGTGACCCCAGGATCATAGCGAGCCTGGGCACCTTAGCGAGACCCTGTTGTTTTTAGAAAAGACAACAGAATCAAACACGCCAGCGAGTGGTAGCGATCACTCCAGCTTTCCCTCCTCCTCTTTGTTTTCAATAGTCTCACTTTGAGTCCCAGGCAGGCCTTGAGCTCACAACAGGCTAGCTGGTGGTGCAAAAATGGAACCAAAAATCAAGTGTATGACTCTTAGACTGCCTGTTCTTTATCTGTTATGTGTGATTATATGACCAATAACTGGAAAGCGCTGGCTAATTTCAGCATAACCCCCCCCCACACACACACACACACGCTACATTTGTCTGTTAACATTACCACTGACCTCACCGGGGAGGTCATTAAGTACCAGGGACTGTCAAATTCATGGTGAAAGATACAAGTTTTTAAAACTCCTAATTTTCACTTGAAGGATTAAATTTTTGGCTTTGTTTTTCCTGTCTTCCCCCACCGCAATCACTGGCAACTAACAGTATCAAATATTTCCCTTGGGCGCCATTCATTTTCAGGAAAATATCTGTCAAATACCAAGACCATAATGTCATGATTTGGGATTTCAACTTTTTTTTGTAAGTAGTGCTATGACAATAAAATGTTTTAGGCCACAAGGCTTTATTGCATCATTTTCCTTAGAATTGTGTCTAGAATCTGTGCCCTTCTTACTTCCTTGGCCGCAACATACTCTTACCCTTGAAAGCCAAGGCATTTCTCCCTCTTTCTAGAAATGTACGTGAAAACTCACTTCACTATTCCAGTCAGGTCTCAGGCTAAACCTCAAGCTCTATCGCTAGGGACTGCATAACCAGCACGGCTGGGCAATGTGCCAGGCCGCAGTCACCCCTGAGGCTCTGCTGGCTGCAGGTAGCATCTTCAGTGAGAGACAGAGTCCCTCACATGCCACCCGCTTCCTGTCTAACAGTGAGAGTGAAAAGGCTTTTTAAGAACTGAGGTCTGGAGGCTGGGACGATGGCCAAGCTTCTTTTCCAGAGGACACAGTTTTCCAGCACCCACACAGGGCAGCTCACAACCGCCTGTAATCTCGACTTCAGGGTATTTGACAGCCTTGCTGGCCCCCAAGGACACTACACATAATCTTACACACACACACACACACACACACACACACGCATGCGCACACACACATGCACGCACGCACACACACACGCACATGCACCTGCGCTAGTAAATATTTTTTAAAAGAATGAGACCTAGTAATACTATTAGTAAAGTTTTTAACCTTTTCATAAGAAGTAGTCTCATGTAATGGTAGTAGCACAGAGAGGAGGACTCCAGGGGCCCTGTCCTGAGGTGTCAGTCATTTCCTCTACCGTCACCACTCAAATGTCATCACAGAGAGAAAAGGCCAGTCGCATCCTGGTATCATCGCAAAAATGGACTGGCGGTTACAGAAGCTCTCCCTACTCAAGATCACACATCAAGAACTTTCATTCCAAAAGGCGTATGTGTTTGTGTGTGCGCGTGCATGTGCATGAATGCACACCTATGGACACAAATGTGCACACATCAGCCTAGCGCTCAAAATTCAGATTTTTCTGCTGCAACACCAGGTGTACAGATGACAAAACTGGACTGCATTTGGAATTCACAGTAAATGAAGAGTTGTTTTTTTTTTCTGCTTTTAAGGTAACTATATGAGATGATGTGCTAATTTGCCTTATTATAGCAACCTCTTAACTATCTGTATGTACCCCATAATAACATACTGCATACCTCAGATAAATACAATAACACTGACTTTTTAAAAACTACAATCAGGCTCTGGAGACCCCACTCGCACGGTGCCTGTCAGTCTCCCTCAGCTCTCACTGGGCAGTGGCGCACAGACAGATCAGCCTCCGCCCTTCAAACCCTTGCTGCTGCCAATCGAACACAGCTTCAGCAGTTGCATTCCCTTGCCACCGCCAACTCGTTCTTGCTTTCCTTTACCTTCACAGAACACTCATCACCTACGACACACATCACACTCATCTGCAACACGCAATGGAGCCTGTCGGCGTCTTTACAACCCACTAAAGGCAAACACCATGGAGCATCGCGATGGTGAAGACCCAAGCCATCAGCCAGTCATGGAGGGAGCCAAGTACAGCTTCACGGGCTTAGCAGAGCAATGCAAGCAGGGAGCTCCGAGGTGAGAGGTCTTCTGGGCATCCCATGCTGCACTAACAGGCTGGCACTTCAACTAGGCATTCGAAGCACCTTGAACATCTTTAAAAAATACAGCCGTTGCTTGGCGTTGTTCTTAGGAGACAAACTTCATTTATTCAAGATTTTATTTTATGTGTATGAATGTTTGCCTGCATGTATATAGGTGCACCATAAAGGTCAGAAGAGGGTGCTGGATGCACTGGAACTGGAGTTGCAAGTGGTTGTCAGCTACCTTGTGGATGCTGAGAACTGAACCCGGGTCCTCTGAAAGAGGAGCAAGTGCTCTTTACGAGAGCCATCTCTTCAGCCCCCTAAAATTCATCTATTTGGCGTAAATTA